CTGGTCTGGGAAGATCCCACATGCCGTGGAGCAACTAAGCCCGTGCGCCACAACTACTGAGTCTGCGCTCTAGAGCCCGTAAGCCACAACTACTGAGCCCATGTGCCACAACTACTGAAGCCCACGCGCCTGGAGCCCATGCTCCGCGACAAGAGAAGCCACCACAATGAGAGGCCCTCGCACCGCAACAAAGAGTGGCTCCCACTTGCCGCAACTAGAGAAAGCCTGCGTGCAGCAACGAAGGCCCAACGCAGCCATAAATAAATAAATAAATAAACAAAATAAATTTATTAAAAAAAAAAAGAATCTGCCTGCCAGTGCAGGGGACACGGGTTCAAGCCCTGGTCTGGGAAGATCCCACATGCCGCGGAGCAACTAGGCCCGTGCGCCACAACTACTGAGCCTGCGCTCTGGAGCCCGCGAGCCATAACTACTGAGCCCATGCGCTGCAACTACTGAAGCCCATGCACCTACAGCCCGTGCTCCGCGACGAGAGGCCACTGCAATGAGAAGCCTGCGCACCACAACGAAAAGTAGCCCCCGCTCACCATAACTAGAGAAAGCCCGCGTGCACCAACGAAGACCCAATGCAGCCAAAAATAAAAATAAAGTTTTTAAAAAAACAGGCAACTGAGATCGATCCAGTATCATGAACAGACATGTAAAAACGGTTACAAGCCCAATCTGCATTTAAATCCCAGCTCTGCCACTCACTAGTTATAGAACTTGGGCAAGTGGGCACACCCTTTCTGTGCCTCCATTTTACCATCTGTAAAATGGGTAGTAGTAATAATAACGGAACCTGCACCTCATAGGGCCAACATGATTCAATGAAACAATGTATGTAAGGTACCCAGCACAGGGCCTGCACATAGTAAGTGCTCAATAAACATTACAGTAAGAGTTCTGCAAACACTGTAAAAAAGAAAAAGTGTTCTACAGATGGCTGTTATTATTAATGAAGGCATTGAGACCAGGACAACCCAGCGGAGGGCTGGAACGAGAGTGAAGCTGGGAGGAAGTTTTTTCAACATCTCTGGCCTTGGAACAAGGTAAAGGCCTAAGGGAAGCTTTGGAGAGTTGGCACACTCAGGAATAATGAATAAATGGGGGAGGAGGGCTGGTCAGCACATCCACAGTTAATCTGGCCTTCCACTGGCCAATGCACAGCCACCCCTGGGCAAACTGGAAGAAAAGAATACTGAGATGTTCCCTCGGGGGACTCCAAACCCACAATGGCAGGGCTCTGGCCCCCAGCGGCCTGAACATTTCCACACTAAGCTATGGCTGCCCAGCAGAAAGGGCACCTGCTTAAGAATCCAGCACTCCAGGGTCTGAATTCCAGCTCTGCACCTCACTAGCACACAGCCCCGGAGAAGATCTGGCCCTGACGCAGAGCCCCACTAGGAACTCACCATCACCCCACGGGCCGCGCCTGTCACAGGCCCAGCAGCTGGGTGCCCTGACCCTAGCCTAACACACAGAGGCACCACAGATGGGTGAGCCCAAAGTCCAGACTTTCCATGGAGCAGAGGCCCCGTAGCCCAGAATGCCCCAGGCAACTCCCCTGCTCCCCAGTACTCCCCCCAAGGACAATGAGGCACTGTGTTCCAGAGGGTCAAGACTGCTGAGAAGCTGCACGAAGACAGGTCCAGATTCCAGCAGCAACTGGGCATTGCCAACAGCTGGCTATTCCCCCTGCAAGGGATGGGAAAGGCAAAGCTATCAAGGCCTGAACCAGACCACCCTTTGCCACCATGACCATATGGGACAGCCCCCAGGGCAGAAATGTAAAAGGTACCTAGCAATTACTCAGGAGGCCCCAAGGCTCATCCCCCTGGTTAATTACCGAGCATTTACTACCTTATTATGATGGAGATGACCAAATCTGGAATTGGATCAATCTGGGTTACAATCCCAGCGCCCCCCACTGAATTTCCCTGACTCAGATTTCTGCATCTGTAAAGCGGAGATTAAACACCTCCCTCTCGGAATGGCTGGGAAGATACCAAGGAATGCTGAGTAGGATGCCGGGCTCCCATCAAGCGCACGTGATCATTATTAGCCCCCAGCTGTGGTCACTGTCCCTACCCCCACCCCAAAGTGCACTAGACACGTGAAGGAGGGGAGAGAGAGGAGTCAGGTCCGAAAACATAATCAGAGTGCATCTCAGTGTTATGAGAACTCTGTCCAGGAAACTCCAGCCAGAACTCGAACAGGGAGAACTCCCAGCCAAACCAGCATCTAAACAGTAATGAGAAAAGCCACCAGCAGCCACCCCGCAGCACAAAGCAGAGAGAACACACACGGAAGGGCAGGACATGCTGTGTTTATGTTTTTCTGCCCAGAGAGCTATAAATTTGTAACTTATTAAACAACACACGGTGAGTTCGTCACTAACAGCTCCAGGAAGGGGAGAGTTCCCCAATTTTTTTTAAGACCAAAAAAAGTCACAGCAGAGACTCTGACCCCTCTAGACTTGCTACATGTCAAACGCCCCTGTTTCAGGGACCAAGAGGCTCACAGCTGAGAGCACTCTCAGGAGAAAAATAAAAACAAGAGGCCTGGCCTATGTGTCCAGCCTAACTAGGAAAACAGCTGACGGGCAGGGTGCTGAGCAGCCATCCAGACAGCTGATGGGGCCTGAGCCTGAGCGCAGAGGCAAATTCCTCTCTCCTCCTGCACAGCCCATTCCTCCCACCCCAGGCTCCGCTCAGCCAGGCGTGGCTGGCCCCCTGGGAGCTTAGGCCAAGGAAGCTGGGCAGCCCAGATTCAGACAACTGAGGAGCCTATGGTGGAAAGCAGCAGAAGTTACAAGTGGCAGCCATACCCCACTGCGACCCCTCCTCAGGCAGAAAGGCCTCGGGGTACACAGAGCTGCAGACCTAGGAGCTAGGGATTAGGCTTATAGCCATGATTTTGTCATTCTGTGGCTGTGCAGCCCTCGGCAAGTGAATCAACCTTTCTCGGCCTCAGTTTTCTCAATTTGTAAAAGACAGGTAGTAATGATAGCAGTGGCCCTAAGGGGCTCTCAAAAAGGGCTGCTGTGAGGACAAGATGTGTTGAGGTACGGGGAAGTACTCCTCAAACAGCAAATTTAAATTCCTACAATCCACTCTGCCAGGGCACTCTCTTTCCTTTCAGAGACGAACTCAGTTTCCTGGCCCTAAATGGAAGACTGTCAGAGGACAGGAATTCCGGGCTTCAACTGCGAACTCTAAAAAGCCTTTCTCAGTCCTTCAAACAGCAAGGGGACTGTCTAGAAGCAACAGAACCCCCATCAGCGTTTCAGAAACAGTAACTCTGCTCGCAAATTCCCACTGGGAAAGCATTGAGACTTTCAGATTCTGATTGAAAAAATATCCCCCCAGACTCCTTTCAGCTCAGTTATTTTCATGTGAAAAAAAAAAAAATACCTGCCTGAAAGCTATGCCAACCTTGAGTGTGTTGGAAAAATGGGTGCCAAGCCAGACCCAAAGGCCGAACTATGCTTGGCAACCATCTCACTCTGCAAAACAGGCAGGACCGGACACCATACCCAGCTCCAGGATCTCGGGGCCAGCGGGGTGGGGAGGCACCCTGATCCCAAAAGGAAGCCTCCGGGAAGCAGTCAAGTCCCAATCCTCCTCCCTGTCCCCTTGGAAATTCAGTGCCTACAAATAGCCGGTCTTAATTTAGTGCCCTGTGTGCTCAGGGGAGGCCCATCAGTCCTGTCTGATGAATCCACCCCTCAGAGCCTGAGCCACAGAAAGAAAGCATCAGCGGTCACACAAGCCACCCACAGTCCATAGAGGGAAGACAAGGCTCCTACAGAGAAGAAACTTTTCCCCCCTCCTCAACTCCCCGGCTCAGAGGCCCTCCAGCTACAGGCGTGAAGGAGAGGGAGGGAGAGTGAATCCTCCCACTCCGGAGTTCACACCACTCAAGGCATTCCTAGAACCCTGGCACCAAGCTCCCTGGGTTTAGTGTCTGGTTCCAGGAGATACTTTCCCCTTCCCTAACACCAGATCAAGACTGGACTGAGAAGAGTAATTTGGGAGCTCCACTAACAACAAAAACAGTAAAACTCTGTTCTGGGCATCTTAACTTCCTTACCTGCGTGGCTTCCCGCAAGTTATGCTGCGGTGGGGGTGGAGGGAACGTTACCAGCCTGGACAAGTTCAAAGATGGCCATACCTTGGGGCCCACTTCCCACCTCATTCCTCTGGCATTTCACCAGAGTCTGTCTCCCCAGCTTACTCTTCTAGGACGAGGCTGATCTGTGATATAAAAGGGGAGGGGCTGGTCCACAGAGTGGCCAGGGCAGTCAGTGAAATGGACTGGGGGGATCAGTGGGACAGGAGGGAAACTTGTCTTTGTGGCAGCTCAGAAGCTCATCAGAGGCTGTGTCGTCAGAGGCTTATCTCTAACTTGTGAATCTGACCTGTAAAATGAAAGGCGTCAGCTCGGTGGGGCTACCCCTGAAGTGGGGATGTCAGCCTGTGAAGGGGTGGTCCTCGAGGGGGTGGGAGCGGATCCTGGAATTGAGGGCCCAGCCTGTGAGATTAGGCAGCTGATCCCCAAGTTGGGTGTTCTATCTATGCGACCAGGGTGGCGGAAAGGTCTGTGAAGTGAGGGTCCCACAGCTGGGGAGGTGGTCAGGTCCGGGCAGTGGGGGCCCGTCCCTGAGGCGGACGGGGCGGGTCCTTGACGTGGGTCCCTGAAGAGGGTCCCTGAAGCTGCTCTGGGAGATGGGGGTGGCACCCCGAGGTGGAGGGTCCGGAGGTAGGGCTGTCCTCGAAGCGAGGGGGTGGCAACTGTGAGGACGGTGCGGGGCTGGCCTTGGCCTGGGACTCAGGCCCAGCGCGGGATCCCGGCCCCGCAGAGCCCCGGCCGGCCGAAACCAGAGCCGGGACCCGGGCCGCCGCGGGTGGGATTCCGCCTGCCGCTCGCTCGCGCCCGCACCGGCCCGGGGCCGCGCACCCCTCGCTGCCTACTCCCTCGGCCTCCCGCTCACTCACCGAGGTCGTCCATGGCGGGGCCGCGGGCGTCGGAGGCCGGCTCGGCGTCGCGCTCGCTGCCCGTCCCGGGGCTGCTCGTCACCGCCGCGCAACTTTTCCGCCGCGAGCCTCGGCCCGGAACGGAACGCGCCGCCGCCGCGCGCGCCCGCGCCCGCCGCGCGTCCCGCCCCCAGCCGCCCCCGCGAGCACGCGCGCCCCGCCCCCACCGCGCGCTCCGCCCGTGGTCGCCCCCGCGAGGCTGCTGGACCCGCCCCGTGAGCACGCTGGACCCGCCCCCGCCGCCGGCTCACGAGAGCGCGCGCAGCCTGGACGGTGGGCGCCGCTGGGCGAGGCGGCAGCGCCGCCTTGTGGCCGAACAGGCAGGTGGGACGTTGCCAGGCCTTCAGGCCCTGTGTCAGTCTTTCTCTGTCTGAGAGTCACATGTCTGACTGGCTAACAGATCCATCTTCCTGTCTTGACATCTCACAATCCATCAGTCACTCATTCATCACATGTCTGTCCACTGGAGACTCAGATTTATCCGTCTGTCTATCTCCCAGTAAGTCGCCTCCCAAGGGGACTCTAAATCAGTACCAGGCGAGGCCAGGAACATTTGGAGGACCTTTCCTCGGGGCGCCCTCTGGATCGATGGCAGTGAAGCTCGCAGCCCAGGCTTTGGGGCCAGATTCAATATTTTCGAGGTTATATATCCTTTAATCTTCCACATATCCATCCTCTATAGACAGAGATTTTTCCAAAACTCTGCATGGAGCAAAAAGGACCCCACCTTAGACAGTAAAGGAAAAGTTACAGGGAAGTTACACCCAGTGCTGGGCATAGTTTCCTGAAACACCCCACTGCCATCCCAGACTCCAGAGGGGTTTTGCTCCCACAGACTCAGAAATCGGGTAATAGGGGCTTCCCTGGTGGCACAGTGGTTAAGAATCCACCTGCCAATGCAGGGGACACGGGTTCGAGCCCTGTCCGGGAAGTGCCACATGCCGCAGAGCAACTAAGCCCATGTACCACAGCTACTGAGCATGCGCTCTAGAACCCATGAGCCACAACTACTGAAGCCTGTGCACCTAGAGCCTGTGCTCCACAACGAAGAGTAGCCCCCACTGGCCGCAACTGAAAGCCCACGCGCAGCAACAAAGACCCAACACAGCCAAAAACAAAAAAGAAAAGTTCCCCTTCCCACAGAAATCCAGCCCTCAAGACCCTCTGTGTCGGGTTAGGTCCTCCAGGAAGCAGATGTTGAGATAGAGTTGGAGGAATGCCTGTGAGAGAGAAAGAGGAAGAGGCAGGACTGGCAAGGAGAAACTTGGATATGACAAAGATAAGCCAACTCAATTGAGAGCCCTGGAACAAAATTTCATTAGAGGAGTCCCCAGTGGGCAGAAATGTCCAGGCCCCAATTCCCCCACCATGTTCAGCCATCAGCTGGGGGTGCCCATGAAGTGTGTGGCCTTGTCCTGAAGGCCCTGCATCTGGAAGCTGTCATTTCTCAAGCTGGATGACAAGCTCTTTTTTGAAGGCAGAACCAAGTGGCTCTCCTCTGTGGATGCCACATTCTCCTCCATTAAAATTCAAGAGCTAAGACTGCTTCCCAGCTAGGCAGTCTATTACATGCCCTTCCAACACCTTCCATGTACTTCTGTGTTGTAGGCACTTCTCTCTGCTGTAATTTACATTTAGTGGTACAATTGTTTGATAAATGTCTCTCTCCCTTTCAGACTAAAAGTGCACAAGGGCAGAAACCATGTCCATTTTTGCTCATATCTGTACTTAGTCTGTGTGTTTCATGTAGTAAGCACTCAATATATATTTGCCGAATGGCTGGCAGATGTTGTGCCTGACACTTGGAACAAAGCAAACTGTAGTCCCTTCCCTCAGAAAGTTCACAGCTTAATGGAAGATTAAGATAGTGAGATCACCCATTCATTCACTCAATGATGAGATATTTATTGGCACTCCCTTCGAACAGGTCCTGTGTTGGGGCTGGTGATACAATGATGAATAAGACTGATATGGTGCCTGCCTTCTTGGGATTTAGTCCAAAAGGGCAGACAGAAGAGCAAACAGGCCTGTATGAAGGATGAATAACCTCACACCATTCCCAGTTGCCTGGAACAGTATATGCAAAGGCCTTTAGGCAAGACAGAGACCATGGTGCATTGGAAGAACTAGAAGGAAATTGCAGCATGGAATACAAGGTGAAGACTGATAATGGGGGTACAGAGGGGTTAGCAGGGGTGCCTATCCTGCATCAGACACTGGGCTAAAGCTGGGAGAGGCATAAAGAAGAACCCACAGTTAGTCTAATTCACATTAAGCCCTGGAGTTTCTGGGGTGAACAGTATGCTAAAACTGTAATAGGGGATATTACAATGCGGATGTAATGTCACATTTCCTCTAGAGGAGGTCAAATGCGTTCTCTTCAGAACAATAGTAACAATTATAATTGTACTATCAATATAATGAACAGGCTGTGGGCTGGGTGTTTTCCATGCTTTTTTGCATTTAATTCTGACCACAAGCCTAGGAGATGACCACTATTATCCCCTTTTTCAGTTGGAAAAGTTAAGAACAGAGAGATTGAGTTACCCAAGGTCACAGAGCTAGTAAGTGGGAAGTCTGGGATCTGAACCTGGGAATTCTTTGCTAAGGCCTGTGCGGGAAACCTGCTACTGTGCCAAGTGAAACCATTATCCTTAGACCAATCCCAGGACATACACTTGTCCCTGTCTCAAAGGTCTCAAACCTTTTTCAAAGCAATATTCCCTGGAGAGGAAAAACAAGACATCAATTGAGCCGTCAATTTTGCCCTTGGTGGGTGGAATTCTAAGGAGAACTCAGTCTTTGGAGTTCAGTACTGGTGACTTTGGACACTCAGACCCCTGCTTGGGATTTCCTAATGTAAACAGCCCCAAAATACCTTTTCCTGGGACTTCCCTGGTGGTCCAGTGCTTAAGAATCCGTCTTCCAATGCAGGGGACATGGGTTCGATCCCTGGTTGGGGAACTAAGATCCCACATGCCACAGGGCAACTAAGCCTGTGTGCCACAACTACTGAGCCCGTGCTCTCTGGAGCCTGCAAGCCACAACTAGAGAGAAGCCCACAGGCCGCAACTAGAGAGAAACCCGCGTGCCACAACTGGAGAGAAGCCCACGTGCCGCAACGAAGAGCCCATGTGCTGCAACAAAAGATACCGTGTGCCACAACTAAGACCTGATGCAGCCAAAAATAATCAATAAATAAAAATTTTTAAAAAAAGGATCTTAAAAAAAAAACAAAAAACCTTTTCCTCCCCTCGGGGACTCCCATCCCCCAGCCATCAGACTTGGTTAACTCAAACCAGGTTTTCTCATACTTCCTGAGGATGAACGGCATTGCCTTTCTGCGCTACCCAGACAGGGGTCCATACGGCGTTGCTCTGGATTCCCATTGTAACTTAAAGGGAAATTTTCACAATGTCCGGAGCCCTTGATGTCCAGCAAATGAAGGAGGAGGATATCCTCAAATTCCTTGCAGCAGGAACCCACTTAGGTGGCCCCAACCTTGACTTCCAAATGGAACAGTACATCTACAAAGGAAAAGTGATGGCATCTACATCATTAATCTGAAGAGAACCTGGGAGAAGCTTCTGTTGGCAGCTCGTGCCATTGTTGCCATTGAAAACCCAGCTGATGTCAGTGTCATATCCTCCAGGAATACTGGCCAGCGAGCTGGGCTGAATTTTGCTGCTGTCACTGGAGCCACTCCTATATCTGGCCGCTTCACTCCTGGAACCTTCACTAACCAGATCCAGGCAGCCTTCTGGGAGCCAAGACTTCCGGTGGTTACTGATCCCAGGGCTGACCACCTGCCTCTCACAGAGGCCTCTTACATTAACCTGCCTACCATTGGTCTAACAGATTCTCCTCTGCACTGTGTGGACATTGTCATCCCGTGCAATAAGGGAGCTCACTCAGTGGGTCTGATGTGGTGGATACTCGCCCGGGGAAGTTCTGCATGTGCGTGACACCATCTACTGTGAATACCCATGGGAGGTCATGCCTGATCTCTACTTCTACAGAGATCCTTAAGAGATTGAAAAGGAAGAGCAGGCAGCAGCTGAGAAGGCTGTGACCAAGGAGGAATTTCAGGGTGAATGGACCGCCCCACCTCCTGAGTTCATTGCTACTCAACCTGGGGTGGCAGACTGGTCCGAAGGTGTGCAAGTGCCCTCTGTGCCTATTCAGCAGTCCCCCACTGAAGGCTGGTCTGCAGCTCCCACTGCTCAGGCCACTGAATGGGTAGAACAACCACTGAGTGGTCTTAAGCTGTTCTTCTACAAACTCTTAAAGTGGAAATAGGTTGACGGAAAATAGTCTCAAAAAGAAAAAAAAAGAACTGACATTGACAGGACATTGTTGGACAGCCCTGCCAAAACTGAATTCAGGATCCCCATGGTGAGAAAACAGCCTCCAAGAAAGTAGATCCTCCATGGGATCACTCCACGGCCGAATGTTCTGAGGCCCTCTAGTCCATGGAATGTCAGTGTTTTCAGACATGTACTGTTCCTTCCACCTGGATGGCTCTTGACGCCTCTTCCTGTCCCAGCCCACAGGCCCCTCTACTTAGCAGTGTGGGGTAGAGGTTAAGTGCACAGCTCATTGGACTGACTCCACCCAGGTTCTAATGCCAGCTTTGTTCCTTGCTGGTGGTGAATCTCAGACCATTCACTCTTTGTGCCAATTTCCTCCTCTGTAGAAAGAAGATAAATAATACCTACCTGTCAGAGTCATCATAGGATTAAACAAGATACTACACATTTACTACTTAGCATAATCCTTGTCACTAACAAGCACTCTCTAACTCAGCACTATCCCCTAGAAATAAAATGCAAGCCACATATTAAAATTTTTTTAATTTTAAAATTAGTAATTAAAATTTTTTTAATTAGTAATTAAAAATTTTCTAGGAGCCACATTAAAAAAGATAAAAAGAAACAGTTAAAATTAATCTTAGTATATTTTACCTAATCCAGTCTATCCTAAATGTTATCATTTCAACTTGTAATCAATATAAAAAATATCAATGAGATAGCTCACTTTTTTTAATAGGAAGTCTTTGAAATCATATGTGCATTTTACACTGACAGCACATTTC